TGGGGGGGGGGGCGCTGATGATGCTGTCTGGCACTGTTCCAGGCTGACCTGGGCCCTGGGAATAAGCACAGAGCACCAGGCCTGAAGTTCCTTTTTCAAAGCCTGGCTACCCGTGTATAGATCAGCGTTTGTTATTACTGACAATGCAGTATTGTGTATGCAGTAGTATCTGCCTTTATCGTCCATACCATTTGAACACCTTTCTCATGGTGACTACCCATCTAGTGTCCTTTTCTACCTGCATCATCTCATTCCGTCAGAGAGCTTCTAAGACTAGAGCTACTGGGTCCCGAAACAAACATGCCTCATTGGTCCCCCTCCACCCCATAGCCCATTTCTCCCTGAAGGGGCAGTAGTTTCTGTCAGGCCATGAAAACTGCCATTACACATTTCACTCAGGGCAGTGGGTGCCTAAAGAGCCTTGTATTTGCCCTCCTGAGGGAAGCCACTCAAAATGATGTCCCCCGGCAAGTGGCAGAAAATCCAGCCCAAACTAGCTTTGGCAAAAAGTTAAAGCATTAGAGCCCATAAGCTGGACATCTGGTAGACATCTGTTTGGGGAGCCCCGTTCTGCCCTCCCATTCCTCCCCACCCTCCCTCACTCCCCACAGTGTGTTTCTTATTGTAATGAGCAGAGCTTCATGTGCTTTTAGTCACCGCAGTGATGAAGACGACCTCCCTCCAGACTTGGCTGAGGCAGTGGGAGCAACCACGGCTGTGACCACGACTGCGATCACCACCACCATCACCACCACACAAAGTTCAGCACCGCTGGCATCTCCCAAGGTGCAGAAAGTCAGCTCGCCTCAGAGGGCAGACGGCAAGGGCCAGCCATCCCCCGGGGGCAAGGTATGGGGGAAAGACCTGAGCAGTAATGTGGCCTACCAATGCCAACTGCTCGGAAAGGGATCAAAACTGGAGATCCTGGATAGAGTGGAAGGAAAAATGTGCAACAAAATTCGAAAACACGGTAATGACTGGAATTGTTGGTTGGATAGAGACTGGTGGAACCCCCAAGACTATGGCCCTAGGTTACCCTTCGGGCCTAGAAATGAACTCACTTCCATGGATTGGCTCTCAGCCCAACAGTAGAAAGACCTACATGCAGAACACTCACCCCAGGGCGATGCACCCCCCCCCCCCAGGGAGATCAGTCTGCCCTGAGAAATCAGAGGGACAGCATTCACAAAGAAGGAAAGCTGGACAGACAGGAATGCATGGATAAGAAGGGCACAGGGAGGGGTAGTCAGAGGGGAGAGGGGAGGAGAGGTTTTTTATGCTGGGGGGGTGGGTAATCGGGCCATGAAATCAAATGTGCATGAATTGTTGAATGTAAAACAAATCTGCTTTGTAAATTTGCACCCCAAGCACAATTTTAAAAAATGTAGCAGGGCTTGCTGGGAATTTAGTATATACATTGTGTGGAATGACATCCCGTGTGCACAGTTGACTGTGTACACTCTCAAAACAATAACAATCACCAAAATATGCACTTTATAGAACCAGCTGCCAAAACACTGTTGTTGTTGTTGTGTCATCAAGTCGGACCTGACTCATAGCGACCCCTCCTTGGGTTTCTGAGGTAGTATCACTATGGAAGTAGATTGCCCAACCTTCCTTCCGAGGCTTGGCTGGTGAGTTTGAACCGCCAGCCTTCTGGTTAGCAGTCAAGTGCCTTAGGCACTATGCTACCAGAGCTCCCCCCAAAACACTAGCCAACTGTTTATAAGAGACAAATACCAAAAACCAAATCCAACCCACTGCTGTCTAATTGATTCTGACTCATAGCAACCCTATAGAGCAGAGTAGAGCCGCCCCATAGGGTTTCCAAGGCTGTACATCTTTACAGAAGCAGACTGCCTCGTCTTTCTCCCGCAGAGTGACTGGTGGGTTCGAACTGCTGACCTTTTGGTTAGCAGCCCAACGCCTTAACCACTGCACCACCAGACTCCAGGTAGTGTAATGTAAAACCATGTGCACTGTACTTCGAGAGCAATTTAAGTGATTTCTGAGGGCAGTTCTGAGTTTTAGGATAACATCCCTGCATGGCTTATTACTCAACTGAAAAGACAGAAAATGAGAAATGTTTTCCCCCACCATGGATAGTTCGGAGGAGTAAAACCAAAGAAGTGTCCCTGTCCATTCCCTGTGGGGAGTAAAACAGCAACGGAAACCCAGTAACATCAAGTTGCTTCTGGCTCACGGCTCTGGCCCTGTGTGTGCAGAGTTGCACTGAGCTCCACGGGCTTTTCAAGGTCATGACCTTTCAGAAGCAGGTCACCGGACCTTTCTTCTGAGTACCGCTGGGCAAGTTTTAAAGCGGACACCTTTTGATTAGTAGTTGAACACTTAACCATTTGTGCCACCCATCAGGGGAAGTCTGGTGGATAAAACTCCCCATATATGTACAAGGTATTATCTATCATTAGATGACACAGACAAACTCGGATGACTCCTCCCATGGCAAGTCGGGTGTCCCCGGTGGTGAAGAGTCTCCTGTGTCAAGTGTGGACATAGGCTCTTAGGATACACCCCACACCGTGGTTAAAACCAGGCTGAAGTATTTATACAACTTGCTTGCAGGCTGGGGAAGAACAGAAGGGAGCCAGGCACAAGCACACCTAGCGCAGGCCCCAGGACTCCCTCTCCTGGCCGCCTCTCTCTTTAGGGCCTGCAGAATTGATGGGCTCTTTGTCACAGAGGACCTTGAGGCCCCCCACGCTGCGGAGCCCTAGGACAGGAGAAAAGAAACATTTTTCTTCTCAAACAAGAAACATAATTTTCAGAGGTACCCTCCCCATGAAGATCTTCCTGATAATTATGCAGGTCAGTTTATGCTCCTGGAGGCCTCAGCCCTCCTGATTCAGGATGGACTCTGTGTTCTACTTTGGTACATTCAGAAGATCCCTTCAAGTGTGTTTCCCAAAAAACAAAGTGCACTGGGAGGTGAACCCCAGCCCCCTCAAGAAAAGTTGTTTGCAGATGTAAAAATGACTTTCTTCATCCACCCCACCCCCTACTTTGAACCTTAAGATTTCAAAAAAAAAAATTGGGAGTTCATTGTCAACATTTTATACCGAGCTGAGCAAGGGAAATGTTGGAGGGTTGTCATGGTATGCAGGAGCCCTTGAAATGGGTGGCTGGGGTTCAAACCTACCCAGAAGTCCTTCATAAGAAAGGCCTGGCCATCTGCTCCCCAAAGTTCACAGCCTCGAAAACCCACAGAGCACAGTTGTGCTCTGCACACGTGGGCGGCATGAGTCTGAATTGACTCCACAGCAACTAGTTTGGGGGTTTGCGGGTCATAAGAGGCTGGTATTAGAAAGCGGGTCAAGGAGAGGGCAGGTATCTCTGTGTTCTGCTTCAATTCAGTGTGACCTAGGATTGCCCGTGCAGAGTGCTCACTAACCAGGAATATTTGTCTCTGCCTTCTCAGAGCCCCTCTGACCGAGGAGGTCCCTTTACCTTGGAGCCGGGTGATCTTCTGATGGACTTCACAGAAGCCACTCCTTTGGTAAACTTTCCATTTTGCTAAAACCAGAAAAGCCACAGAGCATAGAACCATCTTGGCAGTGGGACAGATGGACAGAGGTGGGCAGTGCTCTTGGGAGGAAGGGTCTTCCTCTTGTCCTGCGTACAGCCTGGAGGCTCTGGGAGCTTTCTTCGAGGTTCAGGACCCCTGGGCCTCTCCACCTCCTGAAGGCCTTGAAGGAACACTGCTACCATTCCTCTGAGCGTGGTTACAGGGGCCCTCCCTACTCCTGTATGCTCCTCCTCGAGTGCTGTCGGGCTCCTCGGTGCTTGGGCCCCCGCTTCGTGGCTCCCTGGCCTGTGCCCTGCACGCCCACCCATGGGCATCTCTTGCTGTTGCTTCCCAACAAACTGCTCTGGTCTGAAGTGCTGGCTTAAGCCTCCTCCCGGCTTTCCCGGCCCCTAAGTGCCTCCCCACACTCCTCCGTGCTCTGCACGCACCTCTTAGAGATGGTGGCTCTCCTGACGCTCCTGCAGGTGAGAAATCCTTCAGGGAGAGAGCGCTTGGACCAGGAGTCTTGCAGACTGAACCCAGTTCCAATCTCTGCTCACCTCCTTAAGAGCCTTGTCACTGAATGGTCACCGCCCCATCTTCTATAAAATAAGAATGTCATTGTCGGCTTTGTCTGCATCACAGAGTTGTTAGAAGGATCACTTGAGAGGGGGACCCCTTGGAAACTAAAGCACCACAAATATGTGCAAGGTGTTATTATTGTGAGATGACACGGGCAAGCGCAGGTGTATCTGTGGCTGGACTCAGTACCCCCAGGGAATGTGAACATCAATCAGTCTGAAAATTTGGAGTGGGAGTCAAAGTGTGAGCCAAGCTAAGAAATATCTGCTGAGAGCTTACTGTGTGCCCAGCGTGTGCTGATCTCCGAGGCCCCAGAGGCAGCTAGAGGGGAAGTCAGGTGGATGAGCTCACATAGAGGAGCTCGTGGACCATCACAAGTGGGAGTCATTCAGGGCCGAGTTGCTGGAACAGGAGTAGAGTGGACAGGGAGGAATTCTGGGAAGCCTTCCAAGAGACGGCAAGTGGGGCAAACGCTGTCCAGGTTTTACGAATTATCACCATTCTTCCCTTGGCTGGCACAGCAAATCATTTATTCAGTTGTACTTGTAATCTGGAGAGTTGGTAGTCTAAGAGCTTCGAGTCAGTGCCTTTGGATAAACAGCTGAGAACTGATGGTGGGTGACACCCTGCTCTGTGAACCCCTCAGAGTTACCTCCCCTCCTCTGTTTGGGTAAACATAGCAAGGTTATTCGTGGCCTTCTTGTTAGGCAAGTTGCCAAGATTATTAATAGATGGAATGACTCTTCTGCCCTTGAAACGGGGTCATCCAGAAACAGAGAGTCTTCAGCATCATCGCTTTGCCTAGATGGGGGAGACTGAGTCCCAGAGTGGGGTTAACTCACAGGGACCAGCTGGAGCCAGAACCCAGGTTTCCAGCTTCTCTTCCAGTGCTCTCTGCATCACATTGGGTTAAACCCAGCCTTCTCTTAGGGAACTTCCGCTTAGAAGAAGAGCAGTGTCTGGAAGAAGGGCTGCGTTGAAAGCACCCCCCAGACTGGGAAAGGAGAGGAAGGGGCTTGGTAGAAGGGACAGGAAACTAGGCAGCCTGGGCCTGGTGCTACATCAGTTGGGGTTCAAGGCCTTATTTTGGGGAGTGAGCAGCAATCTGAGGGCATTCAGTTGCTGGGGGGCAGAATCCCCCAAAGGGGTCTGAGAGCCTCTAGGATACAATCCAAGGCCTATGAACGCAAAAGGAGGAGAAAACTAAGTTCCAAGGACTGCACTGAAGAATACGTGCCTGGCAGGAATAGAAGCTGGTGGGGGGAAGAGACCTCTTGAGCAGCTCCCAGGCTGCTCAAATATGCTGCAACAGATGCCATAAGAAAGCCCATGTCCACTGCTACTGACTGGGGACCCAGTACCTAACCCTGTCTGGAGGCACTGGGGAAAGGAAGGCTTCACTGTGCCTGGATTTTGAAGTATGAATAGAAGTTTGCCAGTTGGAGAAAGTAGACCAAGGCATTCTATGCAGAAGGCACAACATGAGCAAAAGACTGAGTATTTCTTAAAGGCCCGGTGGACCTGAGAATTGGAGTCAGTTTACAGAAAATACATCCCAGCTTTGGCAGGAGTAATGGGATTCCCTTACCCTTAGACTCATGGTCTATGCATCTAGCTTTAATGACCCCATCTTTTTGTTGATGGAACATGACCAACTGAGATTAGAAAGGAAGCTAAGATTCTGAAGGGCTGTGCCGCCTCCAGCGACATAGCTCACTCCCTCTCCTTGGGGCACCCTGTTCACATCTCTGGGCAGCTCTGACTCAGATCTGAAACAGGTTCCAGGATCCGTGTTCTAGGATGAAGCATCCTTTGTCTTGCTGTGTGAGCATGAGGCAGGTGTGCAGGTGTACAGGACTTAGGGAGCAGGTGTGCCTAAGGTCTGGCATTTGGCCAGAGCCCACTCCCTTTTGGGCTTTCCTCAGCACCATTGACTTTGACCTTACAACTCTTTAGAGTCCTGTCTTGCTGAGTGCCTAGCAGGTGAAGGGGCCTAGAGAAGGAGAGGGGACTCAGGCAGTGGGCTTTTCCCTTCATCTGGTCATCTTCTCTTCATCTTCTCCACCTGCTTCTGTGGTCCTTGAGGGAGATGTCTGTGTCTCAGGGGACAAATCAGGAGAGAGTGGACTTAGGTTCTGGGACTGGGAACTTGCTCTGGGTATCAGTAACCACTCCTGCCTCCAGGGGTCAGTGTCCTGAACATGGTGGATAAGGGCTGCAAGGGGCTTCTTCTGCACCTTGAGAGGGAGCCAGAAGTAGAGTGATGGAACAGCACCCCCATGCTGGACTCCCACTAATTCAGACCCAGTCAGTCAGAAAAGCTTCTCAGACCATCTCTCCACTTAGAGATGGAAAAGCTAAAGCCCACAGAGGAGCAAGCCCTTGTCCCAGGTCACGTAGCTAGTCCACATCAGAGCCAGGCCCCATACTGCTGCCCCAGCACTTCTCACAGTGGCACATGGCCTGAGCCAGCATGTGTTCGCTCCTTCCTCACTAACCAGTCCACCTCCTATGAGCTGGTCGGATGCCCTGGCCTGAGGCCTAGCTCCCATGGCCCAGCCTGGGGCAAGGACTGCCTTCAAGCCCTCAGCCCAGGTTTGGTACCCAGAGTTGGCAACTGGGGGGTGAGGAAAGGAGGTGCTCAGGTGCTTGGTCTCAGCGACCTGTGAGTGGGCACCTTTGCCTCCGGCTGCTTTCTCTGGGCCCTCCCATCAGTATTTCCCTTCAGAAGAGGAAGCAGCGTTTCGCAGAGGAAGGGTGCCACAGCTTCCGTGGTGATACTCTTCACGTGGGCATTTACCCTTCCTTCATGGAGCCAAGGAGTTCTGGGGGTGCAGTGGTTAGGGCATCGGCTGCTAACCAAAAGATCAGCAGCTCAAACTCACCAGCTGCTCCGCAGGAGAAAGATGAGGCAGTCTGCTTCCATAAAGACTTGCAGCTTTGGAAACCCTATGGGGCAATCCTACTGTCCTGTAGGGGCGCTGTGAGTCAGAAACTACTCAATGGCAGTGGGTTCATGGATACATTTCTGTGCAGCCACCTTCTCAGCCCACAACCTGCCTTGAGCACTGTCTCTCTTGCTGGATGAGGCTCTGAAAGCCCCCATTAGGTGCCCTGGCTGCTCAAGCCAGCGCTGGAAGAACAGGGGGACTGGAGAGAGAGGAGTGGGATCAGATTTTCTTCCTTGAGTTGGAAATGTTTCCCCGAGATGCTATCAGAACTAGTGTAACCTTCTGACTCTTGCCTCAGTCTCTGTGTAGAGTGAGTTTCCACAAAGCAAAGCCCCCAGAAGTAATAAAAAGGTTCAATCTTTGCCTGGCATCTCTCAAAAAAAGTTTAAAGCAGATTAAATTACTAACGCCAGTAGCACTTCTGGAATCTCTCTTTGCCTTCTGCCTGGGTCTCTCGCACCCTGTCAGGAGTCTAAGGACTTTCATTCTTAAACTTTGCACAAAAATACTCTTTCCAGCTTCCCTCTTGCAGCCCTTTTCCTCCTATTCTCAAACCTCTTCTTTTTTCAGTCACCAACTCTTTTATTATGTAGATCAGTTAATCAACTCTCAAGCCTTATAACCTTTGCAGCTTGTTTTCTGCCAGTTTCCAGTGGCTGGATCACAATAGTTCGTGATCTGAGCTGAGTTTCTGGGATGGGGTGGGGGTGGGGATAGGAGGCTAGAAGAGTTGGGGAGTGGAGGTGGGCGGGGAAGCAGGCTAGTGAGTACAAGCAGCACCCACTCTCCATTTGGACTTCTCTTTTGAAGGGTGCACTCTGCGTAGGGTGAGGGGGTTATTGGTGATGGATGGGGGGCTGGAGGGCGGAAACATTTACACAGGAACAGCACTGGAGGTTAGACTCCTGCCCCCCACTCCAGTTCTGGTGCACTAGTTTCCCTCCCAGGTAACAGAACGTAAACACCTCTGCTTCTGAATCCTGGCTTGCTTTCTGGTCTCTTTCTGATTCCCATCCTTCATGAGCCACCCACCCAGCTGCAAAGCAGAGTTAATCAGAACCCAGTTCTGTTCTGGCCCATGGAATGTTCTTGTGTAAGGGAGGGGGTTGTTGTTGTTGTTGTTATGTGCCGTTGAGTCGGACCCAACTCATAGCAACCCCTCCTTGGGTCTCCGAGGAGGCGGTATCACTATGGAAGTAGATTGCCCAACCTTCTTTCCGAGGAGTGGCTGGTGGGTTTGAACCACTGGCCTTCTGGTTAGCAGTCAAGTGCCTTAGCCACTATGCTACCAGAGCTCCTAAGAGAGGGGGTAGGCCTGGCCAAAGAAAGGCTGTTGGGGCTCAGGGACAGGCCCTGGGTTGGGCATCAGTGTCAGCGGAGCTGGCTTCCCTTGGGGCTTGATACCTTGGTTTTTAATTTGGACCTCATTCTACCAAGAGGGCTGAAGCTTAATCTCAAGTCAAATCAGGGTGCCTCTTCCTTCTCCCCAGACTTATCTATGTTCTCCAGGGCACAGGAAGCTGACGGAAGTCTGTTTTACCCACGATGTCATCTGTTTGCTGATGCTTCCGGGCACACACGTGTGCCTTCATGCCCCTTTTGGGTATGTGGAAACCACACTCCCGCGGGGATGTGTGAATCCCTGCCTGCTGGACACACCATGCAGCCCACTCCCTCCAGGACTCTCCCTGAGCCGCGGGTACCACCCTCTCTGCCCTTAACTCCTGGGCCTCCAGCTGGGCCATGGAGAGGGGCATAGGGCCCTTTTCTGCAGTGCTCCCAATGTCGACCTTCTCTGATTTTTCTCAGCTCAAACTGGCGATCTCTTTTCTTATCTAGATGATGAGGGAGGCTGACATGCTTTCAACCATTTGTCCATGTCAATAATTTTTTCTGCTCCCCAAAGAGTTGGAGTTTGAAACTGAAAAACTAAGTATCTATAGAAAAACCTAGATGCCTGGGAAAAAAAAAAAAAAAAATGACCCAAAGAGGAAAGGAAATAGCAAGCAAAAGAGACATTGGTGTTTCACAATGGTATCCCACTACATGTATTATCTTATTTCACTCTCATTTCTAAGAATCAAGAGTGTGGGGGCCCAAGGATGTTCTTGAGTTTGAATTTATTCAGATGCAAATTTAGAAAGGCCAGAAATGCTCATGGGAGTGGATCAACATGTCTTTACCATGAAAGTCCAACCCTGTGCAAAGCCTTAAGTCCTAATCTTCAGTTATGACATATTTTGGGCTCTATGTAGTGTGTCCATGTTTCCTGATCATTTATGATGGTTTTTCTTCTCTTCTCAAAGTAAATCGAGTACCTACTGTTATAAGCCTGGACAAAGACTCAGCAGCCTAGTGTCTCTGGTATAGTTGGTTCTGGCTAGAGCCTTGATGCATTGGGGCAGTGGTGAGTGCTGAGACCAGAGAGCTGGTAGGAGTTAGCTTCATGGAGGCCTTGTCACCATCTTAAGAAGCTTGGCATTTACCCTGAGGGCCACAGAGAGAAGTGGAAGGGTTTTAAGGAAGGTTGGGCAATCTACTTCCTTAGCAATATTGCCTCAGAAACCCAAGGAGGGGTCACTATGAGTCGGATCTGACTCCATGGCAGTGAGTTAGTTTGGTTTTGGTTTGGTAAATCTGGACTGCAAGTGACTAGCATGGACATAGATTAAGGATCATTTGTTTGTCAATAAATAGAAAAGATGGACAGAAAGGTCTAGAAGCCAGGGATTTAGACTTTGCACATGCAAATTCTGCATTCTTCGAATTTGAATAGTAAATAAGGCTGTTGTGAAGTCTGCTGTGAGAGCAGGCCTCTAAAAGGCCCCTGGAAATGGTCCAAAACTACACAGTTGTAAAGAAGACAGACTTAGATCAATTTGGAGAAGGTAAAAAGGCCTGCAATTTTCTTGATTGTTTTTCAATGAAACTTCCCTGGAGGTTGTATTTTATTCTTTATGGTAGGATGATACCAATGCTTCAAGGAAACTCTTGAACCAAAAAAAAATGTGTGCATTTGTTTTCTGTAGTGAATGGTTCCCCCTTGAAACCCAAACTAACCCTGTCAGCTGCTCCCTTGCCTACATCAGAGCATTCCTTGTTCACCATCCTCATCCTCACCAGTGCAAAGGGTTGGGCCTCTGTTGGCTGCATGGCACAATTCTGACGATGGGGTGGGAAACTCAGACCCCAAATGGCAGAACACTTTTCTTGCAGTGCTTGGTGTCTTTTAGCTAAGCAGCAAGGGGCTGGCCCTAGATATCCCAATTTATAATTCAATACAAGACTGCAAGGCCTGGACTCATGGGCATGCAGGAGGAAGAGAGGGGTCAGGGCCAGTAAGTTTTCTGCACACAAATAACAAAGAGCCCTGACAATCAGATCCTAAATCATACATTCCTTCCCCCTTATCTCTCTCTCCTTTAGTGCTCTCTGTTGGCCATATACCCACATACATACCACAGAAACACATAATGTGTGCCCTAATTTTGCAGGCTGCAGGAGCGCCCTGGTCATGGAAGTAAATACTATCAAGTGTGTAGCCACTCCTTATACTGCTCCCATGGCAGACATTACTAATTGATCACGGCTCGCTGTCTGGCTTGGCTTGGGCAATGCTTCGGAATCCTCAAAAGCTTGCCGGGAACTCACTATCAATGCTGGGGAGTTGACACAGGAGATGGCCTCTACCTACCAGTCCTGAGAATGGGTTTTTTTTTTTTTTTAATTGTGGTAAATATATATGTAAAAAAACATTTGACATTTCGACAATCTTCGCATCTAACTGGGAATGGGTTTTGATGTGTCATTCTGCTGGAGAAGAGGGATGAAGTCCAGAAAGGAAGAGAGAAGGCTGAGAGAGGAGGGGGGGAGGGAGGGGCTAGATGCCAGTTGGCCAGAGGCTGCAAGTCGGCTGTGGGCCAGGCTGGCTTGAGAGCAGTCCCAGTTGACAGATCCATCTTGCACTGTGCTATCTTTCTCTCCTCCCTGCTCCCTTATCTCCTCTTCCTCCTCCCCTTCTCTCACCACCTCCTCCTCCCCTTCCCTCCTCTCCTCGTGAGCAGGCAGAGCCCGCCAGCGCCCCCCACTGTGCCCACTCTCGCTGTTCTCCTCCTCTCTCTCTCCCCATGAAGGAAGAGCCCACTGGAGTTTGTATGCACCCTCCAATCAAAACGAGGCTGGTAGGTACCTGACAGGGCGAGGGGCCTGCGAGGAGAGGCGAGGTGGGCAGGAGCTCCCAGGCAGCAGCTGATGGGCTTGCATGGGCACCAGACCTCCAAAGAACTGGGCTCACAGGGGGCTCTCCCTTCAGGATGGATGGAGTTTGGAGTCAGGCCAGCCCTGGTTAATATGGGTCATACGCTTTTGGTCCTACCTCTTTGCCACTAGGTCTCAAGAATCGGTAAAAGTTTGTTTTCCTAGAGTTTGATGAGCATAGATGATTTTCCCCTGAGAGAAAAATATGTTCTAGTACTCACCAGAGATTCTTAGTTGCATTTCTGTTGAAAATAAAAAGTGTTTTTACTTTTCTTCTCCTGCTATTTATCAAGATACCGATACCACGGGAGAATTTTTTAACAGTTTAAAGGGATCACCCGTAATCCCAACATAGCATGATTTTTATAAAAATGTTTGCATGTTTCCTTCCAATATTTATTCATGTTCATTGATAGTTTTACTTAGTTGTGGTCTTTGAGTCCATATTGTTACCTGTTTTCCTCTTTTCACTTCATGTTGTGTTGTGTTGTTGGGGTCTCTCTCCTATCCTGTATTCTATAAGACTGTTACTGTTCCATCCAGATAGTCTGTCATCTACATAACTAATTCTTTACTGCTGGACATGTGCTTTTCACTAGTCAAGGGAACATAACTCCCCCCCCCCAACTATTTTATCTTTTATTTATTTATTTTACATGTTTATTGTGATTTGGGCAAAAGTTTACAATGCCCATTGATTTTCCATGCAGCATTTCATATACATTTTGTTTCATGACACTGACTGCAGTTCCCCACAATGTAACAGCTCTCTTCCCACTGCCTCCCCATAGTTACCTCTTCCCTGTGTCCTTCCCTCCCATGCACTCCTGCCTCCCTCCCTGGCTGTCTCCTTGTGCAAACACTGCCCTTCTAGTCTTCCCTAATTGATCACTCCAAGGAGTGTATCTACGTGATGTAAATGTTCACCCCATGTGCTTGTCTTTTATTTGGCTAGAAGCCACAGGAGTGAGTTCAGTTCCAGACCTGAAGGGTAACTAGGGGCCATGGTCTCAGGGGTCTTACAGGCTGTATAAGACCAGAATTTTTTTTTTTTTTTTTTTTTAGTAATTTTGAGTTTTATTCCACATTGTTCTCCCACTCTATCCAGGGTCTCCTGCACCAATCCCCCTCTGAGTGATTGACAGTGGTAGCTTGGCACCATCTAGTTCTTCTGGTCTCATGGTCATATGGGCTGAGGATCACATGGTCTACTAGCCTTTTGGACTAATTGTTTCCATGTGTCTTTGGTTTTCTTCAAGAAAACTTGCTCTGATGAGGAGAGACCTATTGTTGCATCTAGATGGCTGCTTGCAAGCTTTTAAGACCCCAGTCACTACTCACCAAAGTAGGATGTAAAACAATGTTTTTGTATAGTATGTTATGCTGATTGAGCTTGATGTCCCCTGTGACCATGGTCCTGAGCCCACAGGTCCAACTGTTTGCTCCCTTGGGGTAGCTGGTTGTGGCTAAGAAGTCACCACAACCTTGTCCTCAAGGAAACATACCTTTTTACATCAGGTGTTTTATTTTCTTAGGCTAGACCCTGCTGGGTTCAATATTGCAACTTCGGCTTTTGCGTCATTTCTGAAGTGGTTGTACCAATTGGTAGTGCCATCAGAAGAGCATGAATATGCTTTACCACATGCTGACCAACACAGTGTGTCTATTGGAATATATTTTCTTATTTAGAGCCAGTATAAAATAATTCTTTGAGGTTGCTTTCATATTTCTTTGCTTAATAGCAATAATTAAAACATCCTTTCCCCTGCTACTTCATAATATTCTGAGCGTTCCATCTGTGTGTTACCTTTCACTTTGATGTTGATCTCAGAACACCATTTGGCAACACAAGGACAATGCCTACTGGGAGCACAAGGTTTCAGGATGCCCACCCCCTTGAAAGAGCTTTTTTTACTGTGAAGTCCCTTCTGGGACTTCTGAGATGTTTAAAGAGACTGAAGAGAATTTTGGGAAGGGGAACAGGCTTGAGTTGCACATTTCCATTCAGTGCACAATGAGAGGACATTGTCCCCCCCAGATGGTGAGAGCTGCTCCCTTCACGCATTCAGAAAGCCTCACCCTGTGTCTGGTCTCATGTGCTTCTGGTCAGCCCTACCTTAAATGCTTCCTCTTAGAGTGGCTTAGAGCATCTAGTAGCTATCCCAGGGTCCCCACACAAGGTTCTGAGAGATACAAAGACTGCTGCTGTTGGGCAGTGGTGGCCTTGGTGTCCTGGACACAGCTGTCTGGCAGCTGAGTGGCACAATGTCCATTCAATCAATAGCTGTCCTGGGAGCTGCAGACAAAGCTAGTGTCAGCATCATTGAGCCTTTTGGCCTTGCAGTGCCTGGTCCTGCTTAGAGAAAAAAGCCCCAGCATTCCCCAAGGCCTTCAAGGGACAAAGAGAAAGAAATGGAAGCAAAGGCTCTTTTGACACCATTATACCTGACCAGGTTGGTGCATCCAGCTTGGAACAGACCAGCCCTTTGCTGTGGCTTCTCTCAGCCTTAGTACTTTTCCTCAAAGGCCAGAGTTGTAGAGTTCTCACATGCTTATGTGGGTTTCCCTGACATTTCCTTCTACTGTTCAAAGTTTACAGGCAGTCCAACAACGTCAGTGAACAGACAGGAATGCTTTCTGGTCTGATTAGCCCCAGGCCTCCTGGTGCACTGCCCACTGTGATAGACTGTGCCTCAGGATGGGACCTGCCAGCAACCTATAAGCCGTTTCCCACAGCTGTGGAGAAGCCATCAGAAGCTTCCCCAGGCAGCCCTGCCTGCCTCACTATCCACCCCACTCCTAGTCTTTTTGGGGTCAGGCCACACAAAGAAGCCAGCATGGCTGGGAGCCCTGGGCTGCAGAAGCACCGCAGGGAGGGGAGTTCCAGGGTGAGGTGAGCACTGGATGCTCTACCAGCAGTCATCCCTGCTGAGGCCCAGTCCCTCATACATACACCACAGAAATCCTCTCCTGCCAACCCTCCTGAGGGAACCTTTGTGTATTGCCTTACATAAGCTATGAAGTCTCTGTGTGCTTTCCCAAATCCTTCAAGAGATTTAAAAGTAAGCTGCCAACGAGTTCAGGTCTTTGTTTTCTAATCCGAAAGTAATACTCTTATCTTTCTTTTCCTTGAAGATAAAAACATTCCCGGCTGATACAGTGAAACCATTTCCTGAGCCTTTCACCGCGGGGACACAGTTTACCGTAAGTTGATCCAGAAAACAGACCTGTGTTTTAAAACATGGTCCCCAAATGGCACACTTTTGTGTGGAGTGCTAGACAGCAATGCCACAGCTTTTGATCACTGTGAACTTGGAGTGGTTGGGAAGGAGCTGGAATTTGGGTCTGGAGTCCGAAGTCAATGTCCTGGATCTGCCTCTTGGTAGTTGTAGGATCTTAGATAAGTCACATTACCATTCTGAGCACCCTCCTCTTATTTAACATGGAAATTGTAATAAGAATATCTTCTTTGTATCTGGTTGAGGCAAGACTCAAAAAGGATCAAGAATTTCAAAGTGTTTTACCAACCATGGAGTCCCTGGGTGGTGCAAATGGTTAAGCGCTTGGCTGCTAACCAAAGATTGGCAGTTCTAGTCCATCCAGAGGCACCTCTGAGGAACAACCTGGAGATCTACTCCTGAAAGGTCCATCACCACCGACCACTGCCGTCAAGTTGGACCCGACTTCATAGCGACCCCTCTTTGCGTTTCTGAGGCAGTATCACTACAGAAGTAGATTGCCCAACCTTCCTTCTAAGGAGTGGCTGGTGGGTTTGAACCACCAGTCTTCTGGTTAGCAGTCAAATGCCTTAGGCACTACACCACCAGAGCTCCCCTGAAAGATCAGAGCCATTGAAAACCCTATTGAGAGCAGTTCTTCTCAGACACACACGACGTTGCAATTAATCAACTCGACTTGACAGCAACTAGTTTGGTTTGGTATTACCAACCACAGAACATCCCACAAATGTCAATTATGGGATGTTCTCCAGGCTGGAGCTGCAGAGTGGTACAGTTAATGAGACCAGGTAGTCATGGCAACCAGCTTCTTGTTATCACCTCTCAGTCTATCTCTGAGCAGCTTGTTTAAGCTCTCAGTGAAATGTTTAAATGTCTTTAAACATTTAAATGTTGCAGTTTCCTCATCTGCAAAATGAGAGATTTGGATGATTTTCAAGCTATTTCCACCGGCTCAGCTTTTCTTCAAATGAAAGCTTCTGCAGCTGCTCACTGTACAATGAGCTGCCATGTGGAGCACAAATAGGGAGCTGCCAAAGGGGCAGGGAGGCCACGTCTGCTGACCTCCTCTGGGTGGTCACGCAAGAGGAAGACAGACTCACCATCAGTAGCCCAACGCCTGTCCCTGTGAGGCCAGACATGCTGCCTCCCTCCAGCCCTCTCACCAACCCTGATACCAACCTTTCCTCCTGCAGTACCTACCACCTCTCTGCAGGGTTCGATAATTTGCTGCAGTGGCCACACAGAACTCACAGATTATGGGGTTTATTAGGGAAGCAACAAGCTAAAATTCAAGTTCAGAAATGCACTCCGTCTCTTGCAGCCAGCCATCTGACTTAGCAGCTGGCAGGCTCTATCTCAGCAATGTGTGTCTCTTGTGTCTCTCTCTCAGCTAGTGCATGTCTCTCAGGAGCACGTTTCTCTTAGCAGCATGTCTTTCTCAGCCAGCAGTCAGAGAGACCTCTTCTGCCTCTAGGAGGGCTCCTTTTGAGCCTGACAAAGTGGCCAAACTAACCAATCCCAACATCAGAATTCTATACACCTGAGAGAACATACTTCCCAGAAGATTGCTTCGTGCTGCTCCCAACAGAAATACCCCAGGTGGATAATGTTACTAATCAGGAGCTACTCAGTTGCTCATGGCAAATTCCACCACAGATTTTACAAAGACTTATGGCTAAAAAAGCCATTCCAGGTAATTTACTATACCACAGGAGCCCAGGCCCCCTCCCTTTGCTTCCTCTCACCTTTACCTTCTCTCAGGGAGCAGAGTTTGCAATCCCTAAAACAATAGGATCCTGGAGGCTCCTTCCAAAAGCTCTCTGGCCTGTCCGGAGGACCTGTAAGGAGGACCCTTAGGGGTGGCTGGCTCTAAGTGAGCTGGAGGAAGGCCACTCCCTGAGGCCACATGGACAGGGAGGGAAAGAGCGGTGGCTGATTTCAATATCAGAGGATGAACAGAGAGGTGGGGAGGTGTCCAGATGTCCTGGCAGAGGAAAAAACAGGTTCCTAGAACAATCCATTTCCAGGGTTATGAGCTGCTTCCAGCCTCTTAAGATCCACAGGGCACAGACACTGGGGCTGAGCCAGGATGTTAAATGCTACTGCCCAGACATACATCCTGGCCCCTGCAGTTTTGGTGGACACAGCTCCCCAGCTGGAAGCTCCGGCTTCATTTCCCTCAGTTGGCCATGGTAGACCACTCTGGCCTTCTGCCCAGATTGGCAGTGTTGTGAGACACACAGGGAGCCCTTCCTGAAAACTGGGGGCCAAGATGGAGCAGGAAGCCAATGTCAGAAACCACACTGAGACTTTTAAGAACTGGGCAAGAGTGGCTTGGAGGCAGCCGAAGCAGGCAGAGGGCACAGCATGAACCAGAGTCCCAGGGCAGCAGGGGCCATCGCACGTTTGAGAGACTGAAATGAAGGCTGGTGTGCCTGGTTACTTAGAGTACCAGGGAGTGGGGTGTGAGAAGACAAAAGAGAGGTGGGCAGGAGACACCTGCTACAAGAGCAAAACCACATTAGGGATTCTGATCTTTATCCTAAGAGCAACAGGAAAATTTTGAAGGATTTTAAGCAGGGTGATGACAGCCAGGGTAGATGCATTTGGAAATGATTCCTGTGATTACAGTGGGGGGACAGTTTTGGCCAGGTCAGAGTGGATTGAAAAGCACTAACTAGACATCTAAGATACGGAAGAGACAAAGGAGAGAGGGCAGAGAACTTGACCCAGAGTGGTTTGGATGATAGAGGTAGTGGAGTGAAGTGTACAGATGGGGACATCTTTAGAAAGTGGGTAAGGAAATTGATTGGATAAGGAAGGGTCCCAGATTTCTGATTTATAGACCTTGGATGAACAACAGGTTAATTCACTGAGCTAAGGAAGCTGGGGAGAAGACTGGACTGGGAGGAGTAAAAAGTTTGCCTTTAGCCATGGTACATTAGAAAGAGCTTTAAAACATCCAAGTAGAAACCTTGATGGGCAATTGCATACTCAAGAAGGGAACTCAGGTTAGAGACTAGATTAGAGATTAAAAATTAAGGAGTTACTGGCCACTGGATGGTAACTGAAGCCAAACTCATGAGCTTCAGGCTCCCAATTTTCTTACCCATGTGTGTCACATTCTGTTCTTTCTACCAAGACCAAGAGCTTGAGTTTGCTCATGTTTAACTTGTCCACAACCTCCTGACTCATCCTGGTCACAGTCATAGGGTGGTTGAGCAGATCCAGGGAACTCTGCACAAAGTTGGTCTGGCTGTTGATCCAGCATTGACCTTGGGGCCTGCTATCAACAACTGATGTGATCCCGAGACAAGTTCCTACCTTACGTTCAGGTTTGTTAACTGAGTTTCTGCTTGATGTCCAGCCTGGTCCATCTAGAGTAAGGGCTCCTGGCTTGCTCTGGCCAGGTTTGTGCCAGTGTTCTTCTTCCTCACCTGGTCTGTCCTTTGTTACCTATTTTGTTCCAGGCAGAGTTTATTATTTCACTCGTTCAACAGATATTAAAAAGATGGATACTCAAGGGTTGAGATTTAATGATATTAGTAATGTTTACTGCTTCCTTTTAAGTAATTCTTAAGTGAAAACAGCATTATATATATATGTGTATATATATATATATATATATTTTTTTTTTTAAATCACTTTAAGTGCCTAGCAGTGAGGAACACAATGACTGCCAGTATAGTTTGGTGACACTACCTTGGTTTATGCTAACGGCCCAGCACTTTGACCCACCATTGTCTTTGTGCCGTCAATGCAGACTTCCATCTTTTTCCAGAGGGAATCAAAAGTGGCATTTATTAGCCCAACCTCTATGCACTTCACTGAAGCAACAAGAGAACTTGTAACTCCAGCTCCTGTATCAGTTAGGATAGGCTAAGTCATGCTTCAGCATGACAAGTTGAATTTCCTACGTGTCACGGGTGGGCTGAGAGCTCTTCTCTGTGTTGCCCTCTTTCTGAGATCCAGGCTAATGGAATAGTCACCATGAGGGACAGTGCTAGTCACAGTGGCAGAGAAAAAAGAAGTGACCAATTGGATCTTAAAACTTTCAACAGAGGTGAAATACAGCATCTCAGCCCACATTTCATTGGCTCAAACAAAGCACATTGTACTTCAAAGAGGGTGGGAACTTCAATGCTACCATGTGCCTGGAAAGTGGTGACTGAGAATTTCCTGGCGGGCTGCACATGTGATTGCTACCGTTACTGTTCATTGCTCAATATTTGTGAAAATGCTCTGTGACAAACATCACTTGCTATACAAATGTAAGATGCTCCTGTTCTCATGGTTAATCCTTTGGCAGGGCTCCATTGCAGATCAGATCAGTTCTCTCTTTAGAAGCAGGTGTAAGACACAAACAGGGGCTTGTATCACCCAGCAGTAACCTTTCAGGATCCTAACCCTCAAAGATAAGGCTTTTCTTCTCCATTCCTCAAGCGGATACCCCCTTACAGATCTACAGCTGTACTTGGTATTTGCATTGCTTTTCTGTGGTTCTCTAGCAGGGGTAGTTCATCTGTCTAATTACAAAGAAGATACTGCTCATTTTATGATCAGGGCCTCTTTTAAGAAGATGTGTGATAAATTCCTGAGCGAAAAATCAAGTTATAAAATATATAGTGGAGATGGTTGCACATAGGAATGTAATCAGTGTCACTGAATGTAAACATTGTTGAATTGGCAAATATTTTGTGATATACATATTTTTACAATGAGATTATATATATATATATTTGTTGTTGTTGTTGTTGTTGTTATGTGCCATTGAGTTGGACCCGACTCATAGCCACCCCTCCTTGGGTTTCTGAGGCAGTATCACTACAGAAGTAGATTGCCCAACCTTCCTTCCAAGGAGTGGCTGGTGGGTTTGAACCACCAGCCTTCTGGTTAGCAGTCAAGTGCCTTAGGCAGTATGCTACCAGAGCTCCTATATATATATATATATATATATATATATATTTAGAGAGAGAGAGAGAGAGAGCGCGCGCACATGAACTGGTATTATCAAAAAACAAACAGAAACTATGCACAGGAAAAATAGTATAAGGAAATATATGAACACTAATAGTAAAGGGTTATGGAATTTTTTCCATTTATCTACTTTTCTATAGCTTTTAAATTTTCTATATAAAAGAGATCAGCATATCTTGCTTTGTAATGAAAAACAACACTGAATTCTCCCAGAATGAGGTGGTGCGCGTAGGCCAGTGGTTCTCAGATGTAGAACCACCTGCAGGTCCTGTTAGAATACAAGTTGCTGGATTCCATCCTGAGATTCCAGTTCTGAAAGTCTTGGGTGGGGCCTGAGAATTTGCATTTTTATCAAGTGTCTAGTTAATGCTGATCCAGCTAGACCATACTTTTGAGAGCTGCTGCTGCGATAGTGATAAAAAACAAAAAAACACCACTTATGGAGTCAACCTGGGGCCTCTGGTGGCATAGTGGCTAAGGCATTTGACTGCTAACCAGAAGGCTGACAGTTCAAACCCACCAGCCACTCCTTGGAAGGAAGGTTGGGCAATGTACTTCTGTAGTGATACTGCCTTGGAAACCCAAGGGGGGGCGGTCACCATGAGTTGGATCCGAAATGACAGCTGTGCGTTTGTTTTTTTTGGTTATGGAGTCAACCAACTTTGGTTCTGAATCCTGGTTCTTAATGTCTACTGTGTGTGACCTTGGGCAGAACACCTCTTAGTCTCACTTTTCTTTCCCATAAAATGAGTTCTCAGATGCACACTGCTTTGCTTTTAACATCTGAAATCAGAATGTTTGTTACTGTAGTGGGTGTGATCAAGTTTGGGTGGCCACATTTTTTCTTTCTTCATGGCACATGCAAAAATGGTCCATCTTGCCCCTGATGGTGTCTAAGGTATGACAAAATATGATATCTGCCTTAAAAAGCTGTCAAGCAATAGTGTATGTAAAGTGCTGGACATAGTATCTGGCACAGAGAAAATCACTTAATAAAGGACAATCAATTCCAGCTTTTATTTAAAAAATGACAGGAGCTGTGTGGTGAGGCTTAGGGAGCAGCTGATGGTAGGAAGATGGCACCCAAATTGAGGCAAACACTCTTTCTTGTTTCTTCTCCAGGCAGACTTTCGGGATAGTAAATTGCAGTGCTGTCCTGGGCAGTCTTCCCCGCTGATTCCGGCTGTGGCCCTGAGGCCTTTGACAGAGACCGTGTCCACGGTGCAGACCATCTACACCACCCGCAAGCCTGTGTCTCTGGCAGCAAGGTCAGTTGGATTAGCACAGATCAGCTCCATCAGCTATATCCTGGGTAGTTTTGCTTTGAGGGACACATATTGCTTGTGTCAAGTCTGTATAATGATAAGCTTTTTTTTGTAAACAACTTTGTTGTTGTTGTTGTCATGTGCCATCGAATTGGCCCTGACTCATAGCGACCCCTCCTTGGGTTGCCGAGGCAGTATCACTACGGAAGTAGATTGCCCAACCTTCCTTCCGAGGAGTGGCTAGTGGGTTTGAACCACCAGCCTTCTGGTTAGCAGTCAAGTGCCTTAGGCACTATGCTACCAGAGCTCCTTGTAAACAGCTTTACTGAGATATAATTCATATGTCATACAGTTGTGTATTTTATAATACGTTCACTCTGTTGTGTAGCTGTCACCACAATCTAGTTTTAGAACATCTCATCCTCCCTAGAAGCAAACCCATACCCATAAACACTCACTCCCCATTCTCTTCTCACCTGAGGCCCTGGCAACCACTAATTTACTTTCTGTCTTTGTGGAGTTACCTGTTCGGGCCAATTTCACATAAATGGAATCGTATGATATGTGGACTTTCATGTCTGCCTTCTTTGTAAATGAGATTTCCAAGGTTCATCCATGGTGTAGCATGAATCAGTACAGAACATCAACTTTTTCATGGCTGGATAATGTTCTGTTGTATGATTTACCATATTTTGTTTATCCATTCATCAGTTGATGGACATTTAAGTTGTTTCCATTATTTGGCTATTGTAAATAATACTTCTATGACCGTTAGTGTACAGGTTTTTGTGTGGACACACATTTTCAATTCTATTGAGTATGTAACTAGGAGTCATATGGCAACTCCTGGATCACACAGTAACTCTAAGGACCCCTGGTGGTGCAGTGGTTGATCATTCAGCTGCTAACTGAAAGGCCAACGGTTTGAACCTTTGCAGGATAAAGCTGTGGCAGCCTACTTCCATAAAGATTACAGCCTTGGAAACCCTGTGGGGTGGTTCTACTCTGTGCTATGGGGTCACTGTGAGTTGCAATTGACTTGACAGCAGTGGGTTTGGGGTTGCTTTGTATGTTAACTCTGTTTAACATTTTGAGGAACTGCCAAACTATTTTCCAAAGCAGCAGCACCGTTTTAGGATCCCACCAGCAATGTGTAAGAGTTCTAATTCCTTCACATCCTCACCAACACTTGTTGTTGCCTACTTTATTTATTTTACCCATCCTATTGAGTGTGAAAGGAGGCCTGGTGGTGCAGTGGTTAAAGCTCTAGGGTGCTAGTCGAAAGATCTTTGAACCCACTAGCCCCTCTGTAGAAGAAAGATTTGGCAGTCTGCTTCCATAAAGATTTACAGTCTTGGAAACCCTCTAGGGCAGTTCTACTCCATCCTGCAGGGTCACTATGGGTCGGAATCAATTTGATGGCACTGGGTTTTTGGTTTTTTAATGAGCATGAAATCCTTAGGTGGCACAAATAGTTTGCACTCAGTTGCCTCAACAGCTGGCAATTCAAACCCAACACACAGCACTGAGGAAGAAAGGCCTGGCTATCTGCTTCAGTACAGATTGTTGTTAATGTTGGGTGCCTTCGAGTCTCTGACTCACAGTGATCCCGTGTACAACAGAACGAAACTCTGTCCAGTCTTGCACCATCTTTACAATCGTTGTTATATTTGAGCCCATTGTCACAGTCACTGTGTCAATCCATCCCAACTGAGGTTCTTCCTCTTTTTCTATGTTCCCAAGCATGTTTTCCTTCTCTAGGACCTGTCCCTCCTTATAACATGACCAAAGTGTGTCAGCAAAGTCTTGCCATCCTTATTTCTAAGGAGCATTCTGGCTGTACTTCTTCCAAGAGAGATGTGTTCATTCTTTTGGCAGTCATGGATTATTCAGTATTCTTCACCAACACCATAATTCAAATGTATCAGTTCTTCTTTGGTCTTCCTTATTCATTGTCCAGCTTTCACACGCATATGAGATACTTGAAAATACCATGGGTTGGGTCAGGTGCACCTCAGTCCTCAGGGTTACATTTTTAACACTTTCAGGAGGTCTTTTGCAGCAGATTTGCCCAACTCAGTAAGTATGTTGTTTAATTTCTTGACTGCTGCCTCCATGAGCATTGATTGTAGATCTAAGCAAAAGCAAATCCTTGACAACTTCAATCTTTTCTCTATTTATTATGATGTTTCTTACTGGTACAGTTGTGAGGATTTTTGTTTTCTTTATGTTGAGGTGTAATCCATACTGAAGCTGTAGCCTTTGATCTTCATCAGTAAGTGCTTCAAGTCCCCTTCATTTTCAGCAAGCCAGGTTGTGTCATCTATATGTTGCAGGTTATTAATGAGTCTTCCTCCACTCCTGATGCCACCTTCTTCTTTATATGGTCCATCTTCGCGATTATTTGCTCAGCATACAGACTAAGTATGACGAAAGGTTACAGCAAGAAAAATCCCATGGAGCAGTTCCACTCTGTAACATGTGGGGTCACCATGAGTCAGAATCAACTTCAAGCCAAAAGGTTTGGAGTTTTGGGTTTAGTAAGTATGAAGTGTTATCTCATTGTGGTTTGACTTGCACTTCCTGGTAATAATAGAGTATCTTTTCATGGGTTCAGTAGCCTTTTGCAGAGCTTCTTTTTAGAAATGTCTATTCAGATCCTTTGCCCATTTTTTAACTGGAGTTTTTTCTTTTTGTTATTAAGTTATGAGAATTCTTTATGTATTCTGGATACAAGCACCTTATCACATATGTGATTTGCAAAAATATTCTCTCATCCTGTGGATAATCTAATGATAAGTTTTTGTAGGTTGGCAGGGGCACCATACCTTGGGACCCCAATCTGTAGATGGATAAAAGGGGAAGGTTTAGCAAGTGCTCAACCTCCTCCACTTCCTTGGCTGCTTCTGTGTGCCTTGTACACTCCCCCAGACACATGGGTCCGAGAGAGCTAAGCCTGCTACCTACTCAGTAAGTCAATAAATTCACTGTGCTAACTGCTAGAAATACAGCAGAACCATACAGACAAAAATCCCTCCCATCTCTTGATAAAAATAAAAACTTCAGAACCTGTCTTTATGCCCCATTAAGTATGTATTTTCTGTGTTGTCCTCACCACTGAAGCCCTAGAATCAGACTGCTTGAAATCAAATATTTGTTTCAATACTCCCTGCTTTGGGCAAGTTACTTAACTTCTCCAAACTTCAGTTTCTTCCTCTGTGAAATGGGACTAACAACAGTACCTACTCATAGGTTCCACGTTCTAGCCTGTATCACAATGCTGACAATATAGTTTGTTGTTGTTGTTGTTGTGTGCCGTCGAGTCAGACCTGACTCATAGCGACCCCTCCTTGGGTTTCCGGGGCAGTATCACTATGGAAGTAGATTGCCCAACCTTCCTTCCGAGGAGTGGCTGATGGGTTTGAACCGCCAGCCTTCTGGTTAGCAGTCAAGTGCCTTAGGCGTTATGCTACCAGAGCTCCTGACAATATAGTAGGCACTCAATAAGTGAATGTCATGTTTGTGGTTGCTTTACTGAGCAATGTATTATGAAAAGAAAGGGGCTCTGGTGGTGTGGTGCCGAAGGCATTTGACAGCTAACCAGAGGCTGGAGGATCGGACACAACAGCTGCTCCATGGAAGGAACATGGGGCAATTGACTTCCATGAAGATTGATCACCTCAGAGACCCAATGGGGGTCAGTCACTATGAGTCAAAATTGACTCGATGCAATGAGTTTTGCTTGGCTTATGAAAAGAATAGGCTAGTTCTTAAGTTTCTAAACACAAACGCATATCATAAAATGGAAAGGACCTCAAACGCCAGATACGTGTGTTCCTGTCTCCTCCCCATTCTGCTGAGGATCCAGCTAAGGAAAGCTGGTAATCAACCTGACAACGCATTACTACAGACACATCACAGAGTGGAGAGGGGTAAGAACTCTGGTAGATAAAGATACTTACGGAGCCCTTCTTGTATGCGGGTGCTATGTTGGAGCTAGTGATGCACATGTTCCTACAAATCGCTGTGCCTGCCAAGCTCTGGTAGCATAGTACCTAAGGCACTTGACTGCAAACCAGAAGGCTGGCGGTTCAAACCCACCAGCCACTCCTCGGAAGGAAGGTGGGGCAATCTACTTCCGTAGTGATACTGCCTCGGAAACCCAAGGAGGGGTCGCTATGAGTCGGGTCCGACTCGACGGCACACAGCAACAACAACAGGACAGCCTAAGGTGCTGAAATCACGCCTGGGCCCCACTTGCCAAGCCTTGTGCCTGCAGAGCTGCATCTAGCCACAGGGTGCCTCTTTCTTTATGATACAAAGGCATCAGAAGACAGTCCCGCCCCTCAAGTGGCTCACAGCCTCGTAAGACATACAGGCTGGCTGTCCCTGGCTTAGAAGCAAGATCCGTTCCTAACTGTGTCTTTAAGTCGAATTTGTATGTAAGTCAAACAGGTGCATATGGTTCTTACTTAGCCTTGCTTTAGTGCAAGAAAAGACTCAAAGCCTTTTCACTGATTTAAAAACTGCATGTGCCGCAACTGAAAGTGATTGTGGTGAAGGATCTGTTGCCGGTAGTGGTGACTTCAGTCATTTTGTGACATTAAAGACCAAGTAGGAGTTGCCCGGTAAGTCGTAAGTCAGGGACTTACTGCACAAGATAGGAATCAAACATTCTGATGAGTCCATTCAGGGTGCTCTGGCAGTGTTAAGGAGATTCCCTTAACTTTGCCTGGTCAACTACTGAGGAGTGTCTTCCCTATAAGTTCTTATGGAGTCCTTTGGTGATGCAGTTAACACACTAAGCTGCTAATCAAAAGGTTGGAGGTTTGAGTTCACCTAGAGGCACCGGAGAAGAAGAAAGGCCTGACAATCTACTTCCAAAATGAAAGCCATAGAAAACCCTATGGAACATAATTCTAGTGGCACACACGGGGCCACCATGAACTGGAATTGACTCAACAGCAACTGGCTAAACTGATTATAAGTTTTTGAGGATGTTGATGAAGCATGACACACCCTAAGACTCTAAAAAATGTGAGCTTTTTATTTATCTTTTCTTTTTACCAGCCGTTGTGTAGGCATGACCCTTCTCTTCCCCATCTCGCTCCCCAGATGAAGTCAATTAATCTTCCAAATAAAAAGATGTTGGTTCAGTAGATGAAGTTTTTTAATGTTTTGTTGTTCAATGAATTCATGATTTTAACCAAATTCTGCCTTCCCTATCTCACTGTTTTGTCACCTCCTCTTCTTTAGTGCAGAGACGCTCCGGCAGGAACTGGAGAGAGAAAAAATGATGAAAAGACTGTTGATGACCGAACTGTGAAATCTCCCCTTGTCGCCTGGAGGATGGCATGGTGCCTTCTGTCCATCTTCGTTCTTCGGGCTGTGTGTGCGCACTCTAGCACAACACACAGATGTTGCTTGGTTGTGCTCCCAGGTCTCCATGGACAGTTAAAGCCAACTCCTGGCTTGGTTTTTACTGGCAGCGTGATTTTATTTCTCCTGGGCATTAGAGTTTTTCTATTATTCAGTGTAGTTGAGATAGGATGTGGTAAGTCTAGGAGTAAGAAGATGGGAAAATGGGGATTTCTTTCCCAAAGTACCTGTGTACATATGTTCATAACCACAGGGGTTACTATGGCACAGACCTTTGCTATCAATCTCAACCAAGTGATTTTGTATGACCGAAACTTGCACCAAAAGCTCTGGACTGTTTGTTAAAGAGTCATTTTTAACGAAGGAATAACTAATTCTTTATTGCTGGTTTTTCATTTACACTGATAAATACACTGCTCTTATAAAGTCCTTAACATTCACTTTTATTCAGACATGAGTAAATGAACAAAAAGAAAAAAAAGAAAGAAAGCTGCATATCCTCATGACTGAAAGTACTTCAGCTTAATCTGAAATATAATTTAACTCGTGAACTTGGCGGATACGATATTACTTGGGATAAATAGAATTTGTCACTGAACTCAAAGTAGGAAATTATAAGCTTAAGTTATCTAAAATTTCTTACAAGGTCAAGATGATTTAATATCAAGACAATTCACTTGGGTGTTCCACAAAGGGCAATTATTCTAAAGTTGATCACTTCTTGTCCTGTTGATAGAACCTTGAACAGAAGAAACTCTTCTATCTTTTTATATAGTTTCAAGAAACATGTTTTTAAATTTTTATTATGTACTTGAACAACTTTGCAGGAAAAAAGGAACCCCCTTAACCACAAACTATCCTTCCAAATTGTTTCTCAAGCTTTCTCAATGTATATGCACATATTTTTACATACTAGCTTAGTGTGTCCATAGTCTTTGTTGTACCTCTCCACCTAACACATCTATCCTCTTATCCACACAGACCCTGCTCTCACCCATTTAAATATCTTTATATCAATGTATCATAGTTAACTTCACTTTTCCCCCTTGTTAAATATTTGAGTTATATCTAATTTTTTACTCTAACAAATAGTGCTGCTATGTCTTTATAAAAAAAGAAAAACCACAAGACTGCTCATCCTTTTTGGATTATTCCTTTGGGAGTATCTCCAAAGAGGAATTACAAAATCAAAGAGCATGAATTATTTTGTAGCTCTTGTTTCAAATTGCCAAATTGCTTTCCAGAAAGATCCATTATCTGGGTTGGAAGGATCTAGGAGGTCATCTAGTTCAACCCCCTACCCCTCTGAATGCTTGTGTCCCTTCTGTAGTTTATAATGCCACCAGCAATATAGAAGCATTTCTATTTACCAGTAACTCTGCCAGCATTAGGTTTTGCCATGTTTATTTATTTTTGCTAGTCTTAACAGGTGTGTGTAGTTCTAGAAAGGTGGTTTTCTTTCACTGATTGCTAGCAAGGCTGAGCACTTTTCCATGTGGTGACTTACTAGCTGCATTTCTTTGTGTGTGGAATGTCCATCATTTTACGACCACTTGTGACCTGGAGATGCTCTTGTACATCTGTAACAGAACTGGGTCCTTATGTTGTATTGTACAGTTTGCTCTCCTGTCCCTACCCTCCAAACTGAATGGTGCCAATAATTTGATACTAATGATGATAAAAAAAAAAAAAAAAAGCCTCATTTACTAGTATGATTGTTAAACGGTGTATGCAGGCAGATACTCAGAACACTGAGGATTAACCTTTCAAGTGCTGACTCTTTAAAATTTTAATGTTTTTGAGGGAGAACTTTCTAAAATGTGTTCACACTTCCCCGCCTTAGTAAACAGAGTGCACTGGAGAGTATTTAACCTTTCCTTGATGAGTCACGGTCATCATGGTAAGCATCAGCTCCTTTTTGTACCTTGGTGTGATGCAGTGAGGTCATCAGGAACTATCCAAACCTGTCAGCCTTGGCTTTGCCTTCCGCAGACTAATACTCTTCTCATTGATGGTTTTTACTGCCGTCTGCTCCATCACTGAGGTCATCGGGGCAGGTGTAGTGTTCGGGGTCTTTTATCCCAACTACATGACCCCAGCTGTATTTTGAAACAGCTTTAGCCATTCTCTCTCTCATAAACATACAAAATGTGTTTCTGTACGATCTGGGAGATATCTGTGTCTGGGGTTGTCACTTCTTGTCAATTCAACACTCTCCTCTTCTACCTTGCTTTCTGAGGCTCTGCTCTTTACCTCCTGGTCTCTGGTTGAAACCTCCAGGGTAAAACTGAAGGTTGCCTGGGGAAGCCAGGAAACCAAGTGTTACATACATGTCAGGTTTGCTTTGCTTCTAAGGAGGGATGCATGGGCTTTCTGGCTGCTGTTTTCTGGAGGTTCCAAACTTCCTGCTTATTCCCCCTGTCCCCCTGGGTTCGCAGATGTTTCAGACGGTTGCTGTCACTGGAAGTCTGACCACAAACAAGTTGGCTGTTTCTGTATATGAAAACCCAGTACCTTTGGCAGCTCAATTCTAACCAGTAAAATCGAGAGGATTCCATTGTTTCAGCAGTTGTCCTGGTTATTTGATGACTTGAACGGATGATGGATGCTTGACATTGTGACCGGAGGAGATGGAATTCTGTCGGGTGGATTGACAGTGTCTAAAATGAACTGGTACAAGCACTTCACATATTTTATATACTTAGAACCAAAACAGCAGCACCAGGTGGTCACTCAAGACACACCTATGTCAGCTTGCTGACATCATCATTCCAAATCAGGGTTCCAGGCTGTGGGGTGCAGTCTCCTGATGGGGATGGGAGCTTATTGTGAGGGGCCGGGAATCCTGCAAGCCACAGACTTTGTGGGTTGTAGACTGAATAGGAAGTCCTTGACCGAAGAGTTTGAAAACTAAGTCCCAGAGCACTCTGAAGTTCCCCCCTGGATGCGCTCGGAATCTAATTTCCCAGAACAGCACAGGGATTCTCTGGGGCCATCTTTGTCTTTCTTTAGCCATCTCCAAATCTGTAGCCTTTTGTTTTTAAATTGTGATATAATTCAGCATTTTAACCATTTTAAAGTGTACGATTCAGTGGTTTTAGTATATTCACCATGTTGTGCAACCATCACCACCCTCTAGAACATTTCTAGAATAATTCTAGAACATTTTCATCACCCCCAAAAGAAACCCATTAGCATACTCATGCCCACTGGCAGTCACTCCCAATTTCCTCCTCCCCCAGTCCCTGACAACTGCTAATGACCTTCTGTCTCTATCCAAAACTAACCAAACTCACTGCCATCGATCAATCAAACTCACAGCGACCCCTCCTTGGGTTTCCGAGGCAGTATCACTACGGAAGTAGATTGCCCAGTCTTCCTTCCAAGGAGTGGCGGTTGGTTTGAACCGCCAGCCTTCTGGTTAACAGGTGCCTTAAGCACTATGCCACCAGAGCTCCTTCTGTCTCTATAGCTTTGCCATGTCTGGACATTTCCTGTAAATGGAATCATATAATATGTGGCTTTTTGTGTCTGGCTTCTTTCACTTAGCATAATGTTTCCAAGGCTTATCCATCTTGTAGCATGGATCAGTGCTTCCTTTGTTTTTATTGTTGAATATATTCCATTATATGGATAGACTACATTTTGTTTATCCATTTATTGGTTGATGGGCATTTGAGTCATTTCAATTTTTTGGCTATCATGAGTAATGTTGCTGTGAACATTCATGTACAAGTCTTTGTGTGGACATATTTTCATTGCTTTGGGGTATATACCTAGGAGTGGAATTACTGGGTCAGTACAGATAGGGCCACTAGGAGTCAGAATTGACTTGCCGGCAGTGGGTATGGCAACTCTATGTTTAACTTTTTGGGAACTTCCAAGATCAAAGCTTTTATTTTTCAAGAAATCAAAAGTGAAAAATCACATATACTATGCAAATTTTGCATGGACAAATCTGTCACTGGTCAGATATCAAGATAGAACATTGATTTGGGGAGTTTTTCTAATGGAAAGATTTTTTTTTTTTTTTCTTAAAGAAATGACTTTAAAGCAGGAATTTAAATCGGTTCATTCCAATTTTCATCTCAGATATACTGAATCAGAATCTACAGTCTAGAAAGAACCCCAGGTGATTCTTATAAGCTTATGTTAAAATGTAGATTCTGATTCAGTATATCCAAGGTAGAAATGCCAGTTGTTGACCTAGAATGAACTGTGTTTGAAGCCCTGCTCTGAAGAGAAAAAAAAATGCTATCCATATATATATATGGATATATTTATATATATATAAAATGAAATTAAACTTGGGTTACTTTTCAAGGTTACTTATTTGAATAGCTGATTCTTGTTCAGTCAGTGGTCTTAGAATGTTCAGAGTAAGTTCTTACCCTGACAAGGAACACAGAAAACTACCATATTTCTTGGCCATTGGGTGGACACACACTGGGGGACAGAGGGTCTCTGTAAAACCTAGGATGGATTGGCAGACAATGGGCCTATAAGTTCATGTGAATGATCAGAATTCCCAGGTGTATAGTAGAGCTGACAAGGGGCAAGGTTATGGTCATTACTTGGTC